CCCCCTTCTGGGAAGGTTTCCCCTGCTGCCTGTGACAGGGCCCCGCCCCAGGCCGAGCAGCGGGGGTGCGGTTTTTGTTCCCTCCCTGGCGCGCTTGCAGGGTTTGACTCCACATTGCATATTCGTTTCGCTGTTCCCCTCCAAAGTGAAGTCTCTTGGGCGCTGTGTCCATCGGTCACACAGCAGCCAGGAAGAGAAAAACGTTTTGAAAAAATGAGGAACACGTGACTTGAAACATACCTAGACAGGAGGTGACTCAGGAGCAAGTGTATTACTTGCCACTACTTTTTTCTCTGTAATTGACTAAGGCTACATCTGGGCAGCATCTAGTTCTGTGCTAATGAAATGCATCCTGGAATACTCAAAGAGCTGATAGAGGAGGTATCTGAGCCTCTAGCTATCATCTTTGGAAAATCTTGGGGGACAGGAGAGATTCCAGAGGACTGGAAAAGGGCAAATATAGTGCCCATCTATAAAAAAGGGAAATAAGAACAACCAGGAAACTACAGACCAGTTAGTTTAACTTCTGTGCCAGAGAAGATAATGGAGCAAGTAATTAAGGAAATCATCTGTAAACACTTGGAAAGTGGCAAGGTGATAGGGAACAGCCAGCATGGATTTGTAAAGAACAAATCATGTCAAACCAATCTGATAGCTTTCTTTAATAGGATAACGAGTCCTGTGGATAAGGGAGAAGCGGTGGATGTGGTATACCTAGACTTTAGTAAGTTTTGATACGGTCTCACATTATATTCTTATCAATAAACTAGGTAAATACAATTTAGATGGGGCTACTATAAGGTGGGTGCATAACTGGCTGGATAACCATACTCAGAGAGTAGTTATTAATGGTTCACAATCCTGCTGGAAAGGCATAACAAGTGGGCTTCCGCAGGGGTCTGTTTTGGGACTGGCTCTGTTCAATATCTTCATTAACGATTTAGATATTGGTTTAGCGCTTATTAAATTTGCAGATGATACCAAGATGGGAGGGATTGTGACTAATCTGGAGGATAGGGTCATAATTCGAAATGACCTGGACCAATTGGAGAAATGGTCTGAGATAAATAGGATATAGTTTAATAAAGACAAATGCAAAGTGCTTCACTTAGGAAAGAACTATCAGTTTCACACATACAGAATGGGAAATGACGGTCTGGGAAGGAGTACGGCAGAAAGGGATCTAGGGGTTATAGTGGACCACAAGTTAAATATGAGTCAGCAGTTTGATGCTGTTGCAAAGAAAGCAAACATGATTCTGGGATGTATTAACAGGTGTGTTGTGAGCAAGACACGAGAAGTCATTCTTCCGCTCTACTCTGCGCTGGTTAGGCCTCAGTTGGAGTATTGTGTCCAGTTCTGGGCACCGCATTTCAAGAAAGATGTGGAGAAATTGGAGAGGGCCCAGAGAAGAGCAACAAGAATGTTTAAAGGTCTAGAGAACATGACCTATAAGAGAAGGCTGAAGGAATTGTGTTTGTTTAGTTTAGAAAAGAGAAGATTGAGGGGGGACATGGTAACAGTTTTCAGATATCTAAAAGGGTGTCATAAGGAGGAAGGAGAAAACTTGTTCATCTTGGCCTCTGGGGATAGAACAAGAAGCAATGGGCTTAAACTGCAGCAAGGGAGGTTTAGGTTGGACATTAGTAAAAAGTTCCTGACTGTCAGGGTGGTCAAACACTGGAATAAATTGCCCAGGGAGGTTGTAGAATCCCCATCTCTGGAGCTATTTAAGAGTAGGTTAGATAAATGTCTATCAGGGATGGTCTAGACCGTTTTTGGTCCTGCCATGAGGGCAGGGGACTGGACTCGATGACCTCTCGAGGTCCCTTCCAGTCCTAGTATTCTATGATTCTATGATTAATGGGGAAAACACTTCCATTGACATAATTAACCCATCCTGTTCCCAATGAGTAGCAATAGCTATATCTGTGGGGTTAACTATTTTGACAGGAAAAGCTCACCCACAAACATAGCTCTGTGCACACTAGTACTTGAGCCTGTGTAATTTATGTTGCTCATGGGACTAGTATATTCATACACAAGAGCTGTGTAGCCTTAGCCTAAATATTAAGTTGCAGTGTCCTTTTAATGCAGTTTTATTGTAGCCATGTTGGTCCCAGAATTTGAGAGAGATAGTGGGTGAGATTTTGTGTGTGTTAAATCAACTTCTATAACTCTTCTTGAACCTAGATGTGAAGAAGAGCTCTAAGTAGCTTAAAAGCTTGTCTGTCTTGCCAAAAGAATCATAGGGTCAAAAGAGACCATGAAGGTCAATACAGTTGGTTCAGTAAGAAAGATCAAAGAGCCTCTCAAGGTAAGAGCCACTGTCTGAGGTAACCACAACCTGTCATCTGCCCTACCTCACCCCACTGATTTACTTTGCTGCTCAGTGCTCTGGGCACTCAAAATGATATGCCAGTGCTGCTGGGAAGTAGGGAAGTTAAAATGTGTTCAAGTATCTGTGTAGCTATTGAAAATGTCAGCTGTTATGTGCAGAGCAGCTCCCTGTGTGTACTGGTTCCTGCTCCTTCCCCACCCTCCAACCCCGCGCTGCTAGCACTTTATCAGAGGCAGCAGCATGAGGGGGCAGCTCCCCATGTTTATTGGGAGCTTGCATGTAACTGTGAACATTAACCGACGAGCGTACACAGTTACACTTATACATCTCTCCTGGGGAGAGGTGCATGACCATTCTTGCAGCTTCTTATCAGAAATAATTTTTCTGTAGAGAAGCAAAGAAATCTGCGGGGGACATGAATTCTGGGGTGCAGGATTCCCTCAGGAGTAATGGTGGCTCTTAAACTTGAAAGTGGCATTTGTTAAATTGCAGTTCGGTTGCTCCTTAATACATAAGGTGGATCAGTTACTTTGAGTATTTTGAGTAAATGATGGAGAATGACATCATTGCTATTTCGTTAAGAAAAGCAGTTGTGCATGCTATCAGAGCAATATATTTCAGAAAAGTTCTGTCTATTATAGTATTTGGTGAATTTAAGTTTTAAAATTTTTACATCATTTATAGTTTCTCAGCTCAATGTTAGGCATTATAAAATATTCCTTTAGGATAACATGTTCTCAAGAAAACAATGCGGAAAAGCAAATTTTACACAGTTGTCTGAAATAATACTATGAGTGAAACAAACACTCTCACTGTTACTCTGGAATCCTTCACCAAAGTTTGCTCTATCCAGGTACTAACATTGCTTATTATACACTATTTTAAAATAGTTGTATCTTTTAATCCAAGCTCAGTATCAAAAACATAGTCTTAAATTATGAGAAAATAAAATGTTTTTCGATCAGCTCCTTCTGTTTACTACTTTTGACCTAATTTCAGGGTTCTTGCAATAGCCAAACAGTGTCGTTTCTTTATTGTTATAAACATTATACCATCTCATAGAGCTGGAAGGGACCTTGAGAGGTCATCCAGTCCAGTCTTCTGCTCTCACAGCAGGACCGAATACCATCCCTGACAGATTTGCCCCAGATCCCTAAATGGCCCTCTTAAGGATTGAGCTCACAACCCTGGGTTTAGCAGGCCAATGCTCAAACTGCTGAGCTATCCCTCCCTTCTATAGGTAGTATGAGATTCCCCTGGACTTCTGAAATTCTTCTACAGCAAAATCATGCTTGTTCTGATCCTTTATAATATTGTATTGTACGTGCCTGAATAGCAGCGGCAGGTGTGCTTAGTCATACCTCTGTTTGGATGGGACCAAAAAGAAAGTTTTCTGTATAGAAGTAGACATTTGTGTAGTCCACAAATTGCTTCTTGAGAGATTTAGGGAAAAGCGACATGAATGGAAAATTGGACCTTTTGAATTAGTTGAGGATCCAGGATCCACCTGGGCATATCACATCCCACCTGGTTTAACTCTTCCTCTTTCCCCACAACTGGATCATAGAGGATTAGTTTGGCTGCTACTATTCTTGCTGAGAAAGGGGCTATGCACATATTTTCAGTCAATGGAAATGTAGGACTGGAAGAGATCTTAATAGGTTATCTAGTCTAGTCCCTATTCTGAGGCTGGCCAAAGTATTCTAGACCAGTGTTTCCCAAATGGTGTTCTTCGGAACCCTGGGGTTCCATGAAGTGAAAATAAGGGTTCTGCGAGAAAATTCCATTACAATAACATTTTATGGTTTAAAAAATAAGATGATGTGATTTTTGTTTTTAAATGTGTGCAATTAAACTAAATGTTGATCTCATGACCTTGTTTAGCATTTATTTATTATTATCCTTACTTATTTGTGGTCTACTTTTTCAGCTCCATATATTAGACTGTTATTAGGGGTTCCGCAAAATTCTTTCGAGTTTAAAAGGATTCCATGGCCTAATAAAATTGGGAAACACTGTTCTAGATTATTTCTAACAGGTGTTTGTCTAGCCTGTTCTTAAACACCTCCAGTGACAAAGATTTTACAATCTCTAGGTAAAGTGTTCAGTGCTTAACTATTCATTCAGTTAGGAAGTTTTTCCTAATATTCAATCTAAATCTTTTTTTTCAATTTAAGTCCATTATTTCTTTTCCTGTCCTTAGTGGAGATGTGAAATATTAACCAGTGGGGACTGAAGCAGCTTCCTGCCTTCTGTGGGCAGGCGGCTGCTCTAGCCCCACATGGGTCCCACTGCGGACAGGGGCTGCTCTCATCCTGAGATGACTGTGTGTGTGTGATCTACTCCTCTGGCAGGGGCTGGGAGCCAGGAGCCAACAGCAGCCCCAGTGTGGTGCATGGGGTTTCTCCAGCCAGGCTAAAGCAGACCCCCCCACCCCGGACCCTGGTTAACCAGTTAAACGTTAGGTTAACATAACATTTAACCAGTTAGGGTAACTGATTAACTTTGTATAAGAACAATGTGTTACCCATACTTGAAGACTGTTACCTCCCCACTCATTATTCTCATCCCCAGACTAAACAAATTCAGTTTTTCAATCTTTCTTTGTAAGTCATGTTTTCTTGACTTTGTAATTTTTGTTGCTCTCCTCTTGACTTTCTCCACTTCATCCACATCTTTCCTGAACTATGATGTCCAGAACTGTCTGAACTTTTGCAGTAGTATTATATTGGTGACTTAATTAGTTTGTGATCTATATCCTCATGATCCGCTATAACCCCAAGATCCTTTCCTGAAGTACTTCTTTCTAGGCAGTCACTTCCCATTTTCTGTTTGTTCTTAAGTCTAGTATTTTGCATTTTGTCCTTACACAAGAGGAAATTCAGTATTTCAGACCATTTCTCCAGTTGGTCAAGATAAGTTTTAATTCCAGCCCTTTCCTACAATGGTCTTGCATCTTCTGCCTGCTTAGTATTATCTGCTAACTTTATGGCTGCGTCTACACTGGCCCCTTTTCCGAAAGGGGCATGCTAATTTTAAACTTCAGAATAGGGAAATCCGCGGGGGATTTAAATATCCCCCGCGGGATTTAAATAAAGATGTCCGCCGCTTTTTTCCGGCTTGTAGATAAGCCAGAAAAAAGTGTCTAGACTGGCCCAATCCTCCGGAATAAAGTCCTATTCCGGAGGATCTCTTATTCCTACTTTATAGGGATTTAAATAAAGATGTCCGCCGCTTTTTTCCGGCTTGTAGAAAAGCTGGAAAAGAGCATCTAGACTGGCCCGATCCTCCGGAATAAAGCCCTATTCCGGAGGAACTCTTATTCCTACTTCAAAGTAGAATAAGAGATCCTCCGGAATAGGGCTTTATTCCGGAGGATCGGGCCAGTCTAGATGCTCTTTTCCAGCTTTTCTACAAGCCGGAAAAAAGCGGCGGACATCTTTATTTAAATCCCGCGGGGGGATATTTAAATCCCCCGCGGACTTCCCTATTCTGAAGTTTAAAATTAGCATGCCCCTTTCGGAAAAGGGGCCAGTGTAGACGCAGCCTATGTGTGTACGCTCTACACCAGTGTCTCCCAGTTTTATTTGGATACGGAACCCTTTTGAACTCAAAAGAATTTTGCGGAATCCCTGAATGACTGCGCATGCAGCGCTCAGTAGTGACATCAGCATCCCCACTCTTTGGCTAAGCTGGCATTACAGAGAGAGACTTACCGTGGCAAACAAATTAAAATTGTTTTCAATAAAATTCATAAATGAATGAAAATTTCATTCTATTACAATAACTTGTGGAACCCCTATTTTTACTTCATGGAACCCCAGGGTTCCGCAGAACATAATTTGTGAAACACTGCTTTATGCCATTATCCAAATCATTTATGAAGTTATTGCATAGAGCCCAACTCAGGGCAGGTCTCTGCAGGACCCCACCTCTTGCTTGACTATGAACCATTTGATGATTACTCCTGGGTACAATTTTCCAATGAGTTGTGTTGTGTACCTGCTTTATAGTAGGTTCATAGGCTATAAACAAACTAGGGAAATATAAGAGCATATGAGACAGTATCAAAAGCCATACTAAAGTTGTGATATCTCGCATTGTTACCTGCGCAGTGTAGGGCACCTACCCTATTATTTCTGATCTTGGTGTGTACCCTCTGCAAGGTGACCAGATCTTTTCCCAGCGAAAGAGCCTTTACAGAGTAATATCCTTAATTTGAATTTATTAGCGGTTGATCAACAGAATACACATGCAAAGCCTACAGGGCCCTCCACTCCTGGTAAAACAGGCAGTCTCTTCCCAGTGGACAGTGAGACTCTTCTAGTCTGTGGCTTCAATTTCTGCACAGAATGATCATGCAGAATATCCAAGCAGCTTTGATCTTGAGTTGTGTTTTGGAGTTAGGTTCCAAAGAATTATTGGAGCTCAGTTTATGTTGGCAAAAGCTGGTAGGTCCTGCTTATCTAAACCTTAATCAGTCATTTTAACTTAAAGTATTATGAAACCAAGTTCTTTGGCAGTCTTAGCACACTACCTTTTACATACAAGAGTCAATTTAAATTTTGCAAAATCAGTTATGTGGTAGACAAATATTAAAGAACAGAAACAATTAAAGGTAAAACAAAAGAGAAGAATTCAAAACTTAACTATTTATAAAAGAAATTCTGCCAGACAGCGTGTTTTCTTGCAAAGTTTTCCTTTAAAAATCGTAGTCATCTATACGTATTCTGAAGTGTTGGAGCATAAGCTTTCGTGGGCAAATACCCACTTCATCTTTGCCCATGAAAGCTTATGCTCCAACACTTCAGTTAGTCTATAAGGTGCCACAGGACTCCTCACTGCTTTTGCAGATTCAGACTAACATGGCTACTCCTCTGATACTATATGTATACTGTTTGTGTTCTACCAGTGGTTCTCAGTCTTTTACTTTTTGAGCCCCTTCTGCCAGCATGTGATAAAAACTTCATGGCCCACCTATGTCACAATTGTTTTTCTGCATATAATAGCCGGTGTGGGCAATAATTTTTGATGGGGGGGGGGCCATGCCAAGATCTTGGAAAGTGGTGGAGGGTTGCACTCTTCCATGTTGTTAATGGAGGAGGTGCGGTGTCTGGGATGGAGGTTGGGTGCAGGAGGGAGCTTGGGGTAAGATATTGGGATGCAAGAGAGAGAATAGGGATTGAGAAGGAGTTTGGGTGATCTCGGGCAGGAGATTAGGTTGCCAGATCTGGGAGAAGGGTTTGGATATGTGGAGTAGCGGGGTAGGAGTGGGGGACAGAAGGTTGGGGAAGTGAGGGGCTGGAGTACCAGAGGCAGGCTCTGGCCAGGAGACTTACCAGCCTCAAGCAAAAGTGGAGATGGAAACAAAGAGGAGTGGGGAGAATCCTTTCCAATTTTACAGTTAGGTTCTGCATGTAGATATTGATACGTTGATTATGGTGTACCTTGCCATAATCATAGCACCTCTGCACTAGTACTTTCAGCATGATTTCAGCAATAGGATTGTCTCATTACAATATATTTTGTTTTCATGCCTGAGAATATTGGTATAACCAGGCTGGGTTTGGACCTGTGCCAAGGGTTCATGCTTAACCATACCACCATGATACTGATGTGATGAGTTTGTGCACCATTGCTTTCCCTGTGTAATAGAATAGGGGTGGGCAATAAAACAGCATCGGTTCACCAGGGTTAGCCACTGGTGGGCTGCTGCTATACTTGTGCCTCGGCAGGTACAGGCGATTGCAACACCTGTTGGCCACAGATAGCTTTCAATGGCTGAGAACAGCAACAGGAAGCAGCATGGACTGGGACACACCTTCCTGCAGCTTCCATTGGCCTGCAATAGCAATCCATGATCAACAGGAGATGCATTTGCCTGTACCTGCAGAGGTGCAAGTAATATAGCAACAGAGGCTAACCCTAGAGAACAGGTTCCGACCAACAGGTGAGTATTTGCCCACCCCTGCAGTAGACTGGCCAATCCCCGCTTTAAACAAACTGTTTTGAAATATTTTAAGGGGGTGTTAACTTTTTATACATTTCAGAAGAGAAACAGAATATACCAATAAAAAGTCAGACTTGGGTTTTCAGTTTCTGTATGTGTCTACATTATGGAGGCTATACTGGCATAGCCACATAGTGTGTACACAGTCTACACTGACAGAGGTTTTTTTGTCAGCACAGAAACACCATCTCCCCAAACTAGCTAGGTCAACAGAAGCATTCTTCCATCAATTTAACTCCCAGCGTAAATGTAGTTATATCAGCATTGTTATGTTAATCAGGGATGTACCAACAGAGTTTTCAAATGTAGACCAAGTCTTTGTATAAAGTACTCATGCTTAGCAGTAATGCCACAATGCTGTTGCTGATTCTTCCTTTTGCATTAGAAGATCAAGTGTTCTCAAACTTGTAGTCAGAACCACTTTGGAGGTTGTGAGGTTATTACATGGGGAAGGGTCCTTAAGCTGTCACCCTCCACCTGAAATCCTGCTTTATCTCAAGCATTTATAATGATGGTAAATGGATTTTAAAAGAGTTCTAATTTGGGGCGGGGGCTGGTCAGTAGCATATTGTGTGAAAGGGGTCACTAGTACAAAAGTTTGAGAACCACCATATCAAATGGAGACACAATGTACATGTACTGTGCTGTTGTGATATCTAGGCATTCTCATTATGTATTGACATTGAGTTGGAAAATATTTCCATGTGCAATTTTGTGTGAAGCAATTTTATTAAATGTCATATTCTGATATTGTTAAGTCTGGAATTACATACTTGTGTGGCCTCTCTCACTTTTAGGGTTTCTTTCAACTTCCTAACAAAGGACACAAAGAGAGAGAGGAAGAAAAAGAAGATTCCAGTGGCCCCAAATGCGGCGAACTAGGAATCATGGATCTGAAATTCAACTCCTCAAGGAAATATATTTCAATAAGTGTACCTTCAACGTCGCAAGCCATGTCTCCTCATATCAAATCAGTAGATGATGTACTAGTTCTTGGCATGAATCTCAGCAGATTTAACAAACCCACTCAGTTTTTTATTTGTGTTTCTGGAGTTTTTATTTTTTATCTAATCTATGGCTATTTACAGGTAAATTCTGTTTTATGTTAGTACTTCTGTTTCTTTAGTTGAACATTATCAGTTTCTAGAAGGACAACATATAGTTTGTTTGATCTAAAAATCTGTCCTAATCTATATATTTAAAAAATACATTAAAAAGAAACATTCAGATGAGTCAGACACTGAAGTTAGGGGAAAATAGTACATGATCATATAATTAAAAATTATATCATAATGCATATGCAGAATAGGGCCTAATTAAGGATGCTTGGACTACCTTAATTATCTTTCCTTAACTTTTGAGTGCATGGCCTTGTATTTTTAATATTAACATATTATGTAATTTCTAAATTGTACAAAAGCAAATTGAAAAATTACATTATATGGGACCATAATGACCTCCATCTGGGTCTTGTAATGGAAGGTATTAGGCAGCCTTAACAATTAGCCTTGCCTTAGCTCTAGCTAAAAGTGATACATCTACAGAATTCTTTAGCCAGTATCTATCTTTTTCCATAACATGAGACTCTCTTATTTTAAATATCTATAGAGTCCTAAGAAATTAGAATTACCAGTAAATTTGTTTTTTTAAATAAGTTAATGTTAACAATTTGTATTTGAATGTTTTATTGTGAGTTATTTGAGAGTATACTGAGAAAAAGAATTGAAAACAAAGTTAAAAGCAGCTATGACGTCTCTGTAATTTGAGATTAATGTTTATGGGCAAAATGTCAATCACTTATGAATCACTTAGTTAATTCAGTGGAATTACACCAGCAATAAAAATGGCTCTTTTTTCAGTCTTTAAATACTCTCTCTCCAGTTTTAAATTATGTATACTTCATGTATTTTCTACTTACCGTATTTTCCAGCGTATAAGACGACTTTTTATACTAAAAAACATCCCCCAAAAATCGGGGGTCGTCTTATACGCCGGGTATAAACATACTGTAGTTTCGGCTACATACAGAACGTCCCTGTGCTGATACTGTATGTACCGCGCTGAGCCAATCACGGCAAGCGGTGTCATCTATTAATGCATACAAAGCCTGCTCGGATTGGCTGAGTCAGAGAGGCAGGCTATTAGAACCTTTGCCAATCCCAGCAGGCTTTGTATGCATTAATAGAATACACCGCTTGCCGGGATTGGCTCAGCGCGGTACATACAGTATCAGCACAGGGACGTTCTGTATGTAGCCCAAGCTACAGTACTGTATTAGGGCACATCCAGCGGGCTGGTGTTATTAAATGGTGTTGCCTCGGAAGGGGGGGTAGTCTTATACGGCGAATATAGGCCAAAACCTATGTTTTAACTGGAAAATTAGGGGGTCTTCTTATACGCCCAGTCGCCTTATACGCCGGAAAATACAGTAATGCTTTGCAACTTTAAAGCATGAGAATTGTGTACTCACATTGAGAAAATAGTCTGCTAATTAAGTTTTGATCTAACACAGTGGTTTTTTTTTTATAGGAACTGATATTTTCAGTGGAGGGATTCAAGCCTTTTGGTTGGTACCTTACTTTAGTGCAATTTGGATTTTATTCCATTTTTGGACTAATTGAACTACAGCTTATTCAGGATAAAAGGAGACGGTATGTATTTTTAAGTGATTTATCCTTTAACACATTTAAGTGATCAACACTTTCTAACTTGCATAACACAGTCCGTTTGATGAACTCAACTTTCATCATTTGTGTATGAATGTTGTTATTTCACAGATAACTGAGGAGCAGATTTGCAATTGAAGATATTCATCATTATGTGTTTTCTATCATATACTTGTGATGTGTCTGATCACAGAAATCCTCTTGGGTTTGTACCCCAGTGTGTTGATCAAGCCTCTGACATCCATGTTCCTGCCCTCTGGAGCTCCTCACAATCCTATACTGCTGAGACAGAAACTCTAGTCTCTCTGAGCCAATGCACAGACTTGGGGACACTGTCCCTCTACCAGGCAACACAGGCATTGAAAAAGTTCAGCTCCAGAAAGGCTCAGCTATCAGGCTTCAGCACCCAGTAACACTGCCACCGAAAAAAGGATCAAAACCCCCAAATAAATTAGATTTACCCTGTATAAAAGTTTTACACAGAGAAAACTCAAAAGTGAGAGATGCACAATGGTTGCTCTCCTTCAGATAACAATTGTTTAGCCTGGGCTTGCTAATAAGAATGTTTTTATTAAGTATAAAAAGTAGGATTTAAGTGATTACAAGTTACTAAACCAAAATAAAACATGCCGGGTAATCCGGATCTACTAAGAAACTTGCTACATGCAATTTTTACCCTAAAAAGTTGTTCTGAGTATCTCTTTTGCAAGCTAAGCAGCCTCCTAGCTTGGGCCCAGTCCTTCCCCCTGTTCAGTCTCAAATGTTTCCAGCAAGCATTTTAGGTGGTAAGTGGTGAGGGGAGGAAAGAGGGGAAATCTCCTGGTCTCAGCGACTGCCACTATTGTTTGGCTCACTTCCTTAAATCCCTTTTGCCCAAGGCGGGAGTTGTTTTGCTTGGTTTCAGTTTTTCTCACCTTGAGTGGAAAAGTACAAGATTCTGGGTTTTAGCTTTAAATGGCCTGGCCACGTGGCTTTCTAGGGCCAACCACAGTTTGGGCTTTCAGGAAGAACAACACCATTCATAGATGATTGGCCTGATCACCGAGCCATTACTTTTCCAGAGCATCAGTAATGGCCCTCATTAGCACATTTAGAATTAAACAGATCCACACTTCATATTTCTAACTTCATGTTAGAAAAGGTGCCACAACACTTCTCGTTATTCTTACATTAATATTGTATGTACTGTACTATGTAAGCAAAGGGCTATTGTTTTAGATTTAGGCCTTGATGTTGCGCAAAAAAAAAAAACATGGACAGGCACATGTTTATTTTAAGAACAATAAGTACTGTAGTCCTTTGGAAGTTAGTGGGTGAACACACTGTACATAACACCAAGCAGATGGATACATTTCTGTGGTATCAGGACCTTAGGAATTTTGAAGTTGGTTGGAGATTCAGGTGTCCCTTTTCACTTAGCGTACCCTGTGTTTTTTTTCATTGTATTTTTCAGTTTCATTTCAGTTTTTTCAGATGTGCTTTACATAAACTATTTCCAATAATTTATTAAATATGACTTAAGTAAGCTTTGACAGTGATCCCGTAGTTATTGTGAAGTTTACACTTATAAGCAGGATTGAAATGTGTTTCATGCTTTTCTGATTGAACTGAGTCTAAGTCAGTACAGTTATACTTTATAGGACAACTGCATTTTCTTTGTTGTTAAATAAAATATATATAAATAGATATAGATATATTTAGAGAACATTTAAAAATAAGCTCTCTTCCAAATTCTCCCCCTCACACCGCTTTAGTTCTTTGGATATACAGCCTTAGTCTTGCATACACACTCCTTCCTCAGAACAGACTGTTTTGACTTTTTAAAATTAAACATAAGCTATTTTCTTCACATCCCCAGTTCTCACCACCAATGGTGATTCTCACCTGGGAGTCTGTATATTAATGTTTTGTCCATAGTACACTTTTCAGTTAAATTACAAGTTTATGAACATTCATTATATGTGAAATATTGACAGATTCTAAATTGTCCAGATTTTCTACATGTTTCTAAAATGAAGCCAGTTTTATCAGATTACACAGAAATGTTAATTTGTTAATACCGCTTTAAAAATGAGCTTAATATCTTTGACAAAAAAGTAACCACATATGTACAAATTAGTGGAATGTCCTTATAGCAGTATTTCAGAATGTTTTGTGAATAAGGAAAGGGTTCCAGCAAGAGGACTCTTCTTTCACTGTTCCCATTTACTGAATTTTTTTTGTATGCACCTAAGTTAGCTGCATGAGTTTTGTGCAGCATGGCCTTTAGGTGCTCCCCTCAAACTTAGTGCTATAATTGTCTGAAATGTACATTTGGGGATAAAGCCCCACATCAAAAACCATATTTACCAAAATACTCAAAAGCACTGCTCAGGGAGGATATTTGAGAGCCAAACTTTCTGTCTTCAATTTCTATGGAGGTATATAAAAAGGCACAAGATTTATTTTATAAACAGGGTCGATATTTTTCCCCATTTTCTGCATACTCTAAAATGGGAAAGCTTTTTGTTTGAACACCATGAAAAATCAATAGTTTGAAACTAGGCCAATGGGGAGAGATTTCAAAAAGTGACAAGCTACAAAGAATGGGGTGGTTGCAAGAACTGTTATGCAATCATGAGAAAAAGGTGGTTAAAGAACAGACAGAGATTCAGAAGACATGGGCACTGTTCCCAGCTTCAGATGCATTCTTTTATAAGTCACTTCACCCTTTGTGCCTGTTTCCCTTTTCTTAAGTAGGGATAATGCTTTGTAATCCTTAAATAGAAAGCACTATAAAAGACAGTTCATTAGACCCAGTTGAAAATATGGAAAATTTTGACACTTTTTACAGTAATTGTTAATTTCAGAGAAGGGATGAAATTTTAGTGAAAAGGTGACCCTTTATTCAGCCAGTTCTATTAGTGTACCTTTCTAGATTCTCCCAGTATGAAAGTCTCACCTTTTAGGAATACAATATGTTCATTATACTAAGAGTCATTCATTTATATTTTGCAGAATTCCAGGCAAAACCTACATGATAATAGCCTTTCTAACTGTAGGGACTATGGGTTTATCAAATACCTCCCTAGGATATCTGAATTATCCTACTCAAGTCATCTTTAAGTGCTGTAAACTGATTCCTGTTATGATAGGAGGAGTCTTTATACAAGGTATGCATTGTTCTTACTATTAAATATTTTTATTACATGATAATCACAAATTCCAAATCCTGTATTTTATTGACTTTTATGGAAGTTTTGGGTCGAGCTGAGTAGGATATTTTTTCTGTCTTGGAGGAAAAAAAACCCAATGTTTCGAAACCTCTCAAATCGGGACAAAGTCAAATCTTAAACTTTTGCCAGCTGAAAATCCCTGCTGCCCAAACTGTATGACGTATATCAAAATGTTTATATTTCAATTTGATTTTTTATTCAAAATATTTTACTATAAACTTAAATTTTTAAACAATTTAACTTTGAACCAAAACCAGAACTTGTCTTGTTTGAAAAATGTCTAAATGACATATTGACAGGTATCAAGAATCTTTTTTAATGGGAAATTTATCAAGATACTTTTTCCCCACAGAAAGTTTTGGGTTTTACAAACCAACATTTTTTACAAAAAAAATCAAATTTTTAAGCAGCTCTACTTTAGGGTGCTTAGAGAATACAGGATTTGCCTCTAAAATGGTTTTTATTGCTATGTTAGAAGTGGTTCTGGATGATGAATCTTGCTCATAACTTGGCTATGGAAATAAAATACATAGCATATTTCAATATTTTAATAATCCTTATATATATTATGAAAAATTCTCGTTTGTATTGATAGATTTGTTGCTACTTAAAGTCAGTAAGGGTACATCCGTACAGCAAGTGCCAGTGAGCCTGAGACAACAGATTCAGGTTCACGCTTTGGCATTAAAAACAGCCCTGTAGATATTGCAGCTCAGAATCTGAAGCTTTGGAAGAAGGGGAAAGAATTTCTACACAGCTATTTTTAGTGCTGTATGCAAACCTGAATCTGTCAGCCCAGACCCTGAAATTTGCTGGCACTTAGTGTAGATGTACCTTAAAAGTATCTACATGGAAAAGGACTATAGAACTGAGCCCTGAATGTAGTATCCCTATTACTGTAGCTCAGTGTCTTATAGCTACTGCAGAAAATTAAACTTTTCTGCACTGAGGCTGAAACAATAATAATAAACCAATTTAAAGAAAATCCAGTGTTCAAATTCACTCTAAAAATATTATGCAGTTAACAACTCAGGTCTGTGTCTCAAATCTCATTTAAATTTGGAGCATTCAGGTCTCCTTAGGTAACATAATGTTATGTTAAAGAAAGCTGAGAACATAGCTGAAAAGGTTGGTAACAATTTCTGTCAGCTTACATGGTACACACAGCCCCCCCAAGAAGAAATTAAATAGATTATTCAAATAATATTCTCAGGACTTCCAAAACCAAGCTGGCTGCATTCTGAGTTCTAGAGCAATACTTCCCAAACTGGTCATCTGAGCCTTTGCTGGTATTCTGTAGATAACTGCCTGACCAAATGGTATTGGCTCTTCTTACTTCCTTCTGTAATGTTACATTAAAGATAACTAAAATGCATCCTTAAAATTAATTATCCATATAAATAATTGCTGAGGTTGCCAAAAAGATGATATATTTTAGGAGAGGAGATGTGGCCTTTGAGAGTGGTAACAGCTACTGCCTACAAGATTTCTCTATGGAGATGTGGTATGTACTAGGTTTTGAGAACTGCTACTGTAGAGAGTTGCACCCCAGGTCTTCTACTCAGACATTGGGTCCATATGTGTTTTCGTGGTGTACTGGATGGGAGGTTTTTTTCCCCCCCTTGTCTGCCATTCCTCACCCAAATAAAGTAGAGTTAAAAAATTAAGACCATCACATGACCTTATTCTTTTTGTTGTTTGTATTTTTTTATAGGAAAACGTTATAATATTGCAGATGTGTCTGCTGCAATGTGTATGAGTCTTGGCCTCATATGGTTTACGTTAGCCGATAGTACAGTTGCACCAAATTTCAACTTGACAGGTAAAGAAGCATTTTACTTTATGGTTTCACAATTTTTATTTTGCCTAGAATGAGCATTGCATAAAAGTTTTGGGAGTCTTTGGACATAGTGCCTTGGGATGTCATCGTAAAAGGTCTTACTAGCAACACTATAGCTATAACAAAAGAGACACTTTCATTCTAAGCCTTCGTTCTCAAACACTTATTACTTCACCCAATATTATCCTTAGAGCTGAAATATCTCATGGCAGATGTCAGTCCAGAAGTAAATAGATCTTGAAGTTTGATAACATTCTATTTGACCAGATTTGAAATGCTTTAAATGGAATAAAAAGATGGGTATTGTTAATTTTTTTAGACCTATTTCTTGCAGCTAGTAACAAACCTTTTTCTTGACCTCGCATTTCCTGTAGCTTTAGTCAGGTCCGGATTAAGGGGGCGGTTAGCCGGGCAGCTGCCCAGGGGCGCCAACCTATGGGGGGCGCCTGATTGAAGTGGTAAGGGGCGCCACATCAGGCGCCCCCCCCATAGGTTGCCACGTGGGGGTAGGGCCACACATGCGCTACGCGCCCAGGGGCGGGGCACCCCGTACATGTCAATCAGATGCCGTGCACCCGGGGCACAAGAATGGCTCGGGCTGGCTCTGGCTTTAGTCTTCAGTGAGAACTAGTGCTCTTGACTTACAATTTCTTCATGTAAACAAGAAATAGCAGAAGATTTTTTAACTGATGTGATACTTTAACTCTTATTTAAAATTAAAAGGAAAAAACACTATGTATTCGTAACATATCTTTTTGTATAACTTAGCCAAATCAAAAGGGACTTTTATTGGACCACCAAAAAGCACAGCTGGTTGAATCTTGGGACTACTTTCACATTTCTGCTAAAGATGTTAAGAGGTGGGTAATTGGCTAATTGTGTAGTCGATACAATTTGTATCGACTATACAATTAGTCGATAATAGAAGGTGCTCAGTCCCGGCTTGCACCGGGTCCAGGAGCTGCCCCACTACGGCTCTGCAGTTTAAATGTAGTAGGATCTGGGCACCTACTATGTTTAAACTGCATGCCCAGCTCCTACTATATTTGAACTGCAGAGCTGCAGCAGGGGTAGGTCCCGAACCCAGTGCTAGCCAGGACTGAACAAGCCCAACTCAGTCCTGGCTCACACTAGGTCCGGAACTGCTGTGGTTCTGCATTTTATTGGCTCTTACTACATTTAAAGTGCAGAGTCACAGCAGGGATAGCTCCTGGACTTAGCAGCCCCTGTGCGCAAAGAGGCCCAGCCGGAAAAGTCTGTGTTCGCGGTAGCAGCCTCTGTCTGTGACGGGTCCCTCATGAAGCAGCCCGTCTGTAGCGGCCCTGGCTGGCTGTGAACACAGGCTGCTCCGGTAGCAGCCCCTGTCCGTAAAGCTGGGACCTCCCCATGGACTCTTCCGCGAGATGCAGAGCAGCCTCTGCTTGTGGCAAGCCAGGGCCCGCTATGGCAGAGGCTGGTTCGTAGCAGTCTCTCCTGCCCTGCCTTCTTTTTCCCCTTCCCCTCCCACCATGCCTCTGCCTCTTAAGTCAGTTCCCCCCAGCACCAGCTCCTGTTTCTTTCCCCCCCTCCTTGCTGTCTTTGATACAGTCATTGCACTATCCAGAATTTTTAAATTAGATTTAAAGCTCCCTTAATAGCAGCGAAGTCCAGAATAAGCATTGCTGTGCAAAAGCAACAGTTACTTAATAAAACATATCCACTCAGTGTTCCATTCATGCACTAAAGATGATGTTAGCAAAGAAAACAGACATTGACTTTTGCTAATGAAGTCTTTTACCAAGGAAGGAAATATATTTTAAAGTAGAATTTGATATTTAGGGTTCAATAATGGCTCTTGGCATTGACTGACTGAAGAGATGGAGGAACACTGCTCAAGCAATACTGCTTGGAAGAATCATGCCTTTAAAAGGTCTCATGTCTAGAGTATGGATATTATAATATAACCGTTTAAACTTTTAACCAGTAAGCCTGGGCTGGCTGCCATCCTGCGCTGCAGGCTCTGTAGTATAAAACGTATATAGCAGAGCTCCCAATACAGCTGGCTACTCGGGATTGTGGTCAGCTAGCCAGACCTTAAAAGTTTTAATCATAACTACTTATTTGTAGTCTATGAAAGCCCATAAGCCTGTATCGGGATACGATGCCTTATTGTGCCACATGAATTAAGACAATTCTCATCTTCTAGAACTGAAGCAAAGTGAAAATTGTTTGAGCTAACCTCTTACACTACACTTACAGGGTGAGTGTAGAATGGTATTTGTCACTGTTTTGTTTATTAATTCTGTTTGTTTTTCCTTTTCTTTCATTTGAAGGTGTGGTTCTTATATCCCTTGCTCTCTGTGCAGATGCAGTGATAGGAAATGTGCAAGAAAAAGCTATGAAGTTACATAATGGTTCCAATTCAGAAATGGTAAATACCCAACTCTTTAATCTAGTGTTCCGTCACACAGAACAGTCACTTGCCCCCGACTACTGTACCCCTTTCAGGCATCTTATTTGTCTTGTGTTCACCCTAGTTTCACCTCAAACTACTTGCTTACAAAAGCAGACATAAAACTACAAAGAGGTCTCAGCATATTATTACTGAAAAAGTTGCTTACTTTCTCATTTTTACCATATAATTATAAATCAATTGGAATATAAGTATTGTACATATTTCACTGTATAGTATATAGAGCAGTACAAACAAATCATTGTATGAAATTTGTTTGTGGTGACTTAGCTAATCCTTTTTATGTAGCCCGTTGTAAAATTAGGCAGGTATCTAGATGGGTTGTTGTACCTCCTGGAAGACCTCTACATACCTCCAGGGTACACTTAGCCCTGGCTAAGAACCACTGATATACTATATTAATACATGTGGAGTTGGAATTTTCTCCTATATTTATCAGAGATTCTATCTATCAAGATACATGATTGATCATTTAATGACAAACTGAAACTTAATCTATTTATTGTGCATATAAAAAGAAAGTGCTTTCTTTCAACAGGTACACATTTCTAGTTCTGAAGTTGCAATAATTCTCTATTTTTGTACATTATTTGTTTTGACAGGAAGTATTTCCTTTGTTCATGCCGCCCTACTGCATCACTGAAATCAATGGAATGTTTTCCATAGAAAATACTGTAGTTATAATACAAATATTCATTTAGTTTGAATAATATTGTATTTTGTCCACTGATTTCAGTGTTTTAAAAAATTCCACTCAGCACTTACTAAGTACCTTTAAAAATCTGACCCTGACCCTTAGTGACCATCCATATTATAGTGCTGTAGATATAATTAAGAAAAAAATATCTTCGAGACTTGTAACGGTGAAATCTAAAATTGTATTAGCAAATTACATTTATAAGGCAGAGCAAGAAGAATAAGGCTACGTCTATGCTACGAGTTTTGCCGGATTATCATTTTCTCGTACTTCATTTGCACTAGGGCTTTTTGCGCAAAAACAAGCAATGTGGACATTTCCTTCTTGCGCAAAACTCCCTTTTTTGAGTCATAAGGATCTTGTGCAAAAACCCCTTTTTGCGCAAAAAGGAAACATCCACTCTGCTTGTTTTTGCGCAAAAACCCCTAGCGCAAAAACTGATCAGAAGAGATTATGCAAATGAATCCATGCTTAATTTGCATTGCCTCTTCTGGCAGAACTCGTAGTATAGACATCGCCTGAGAGAACCACATTCCAAAATATGTTCAACATTGAGTTGACAGTCGAGCGTAATTGTCCAGATAATATGGGAAAGAAGTCCCACATTTGATGCTTCTTTTGCATGTATGCATGTGCAGTTTCTAACACCTGCTGTAGTCAATTTTATTCAGATCTGCTGAAAAAACTTACGGAATCCTAATGGACTTAACATTGTAATATCCAGAACTTTGAATTAAACTACTTTTTCCATAGCACTGTAAAACACAGATTAAACTCGAAAGTTACTAACTTCGGTTAAATTGAAACCACAAAAGGTACCAACACCCTTTCCTTTTTTTAAGGGTGTCAGAAAGAGAGTTCATTTTCTAAATATCAGTGACAGTCTTAAGATTGCCTTCACAAATGTTATTCAGTCGTAGAAGATACAAAATGATGCACAAAGTTTAGAATAAAAAACCAGCAGATGTGGCTAAAAAGTTTTAAAACTCCTCTGAGCTTCATTAAAACTTATATTATCTACAGATATCAGTAGAGGCACATCTATTAAAACTTTACCTCATCAGAATTTAGTAGTCTGTCCTCAGTACAGACCAGAGGCACTGTGACTAACCCCATTAGAAATTACTTAAGAAAATAATCAGAGCTTGAAAATTAAGTGTTTATAATGAGTAGTATGGAATTTCTAAATCCATATGAAGCCCAGAAGCTTTTCATAGCTTTTTGAAGCAGTAATCAACTCTCTTTTTTTTAATCATTGTCATCCTAAATCTTATTGGTAAAGAATGATTCTCAATACAAAACATTGGTACAGATTAAATAATTTTGTTAATTTTATCATTATATATACTTACTGTCTTATAGCCGCATAGGAAAACCATAGCAGAAAGGGGGAAATAGAATCAGCAGGGATATGAACAAGTTCTATCAACTGAGAGAATCTGCAGCTAATCAAACTAATGTCTAGTACTAGTGAAGTGAAAGCAGGAAGCAACTTCATCACTTGTGAGCACAAAAAATAGTTTATTGACAATAAATATACATTAATAAGCAATCTATGAATCTGCATATCAAAAGAAAAATGTTAAATATGAATTTAAGAACTCATAGGCCTTTTTTCCTAAGTGTAATTAATACAAGTTTCATAGTAGACAACAAGGCTATAGTAAATGTACACCTTTTTTTGGATTTAATCTAATAAAGAAATGTCTATTGCTGATTTTATTCAAACAGATCATAAAAATTGTGATTTTTGGCATTGTAATGTATATGTTTATTGGTTTACTGCAATAGGATATTTCAGTGTGTATTTTATACATTTTTTTTCCTTCCATTACATTTGCTTTTTCAAATTATATTCAGTGAAGGTAGTTATGCTCATGGTTAAAATTCCCTAATACTTTGTGATAGAAACTTCTTCTACTGTTCCTAATAGCTAGAAAACACTCTCCAATAATTCCTGAAATTGAATCCATTTTCCATAGTCACCACATTGTTTTGCTATCTAACACATAGCAAATAGAAACTCACTGGCAAAGTATAAGTCTATAAATGCCAGTACTGGCAAGTTTTCATATAAAACAACCACCTTCTACTGCTTACTCAGTTAACTCTAGTGGTAGATGGTTGTGTTTCTATCTTAC